CTCCGCCGGATCCATATGCGAAACCCACGAGCACAGCCGCCGCTCCGCCTCGGCGAAAGCGGGGCCGGCGCCGCGAGAAACGCCGGTGAAGACTCCCTCCTTAAAGAGAGCCCTCGAGAGCTGACTCTGCATGTTTTGCTCCCAAGCGGACAGCACACAAACTGTGTGTATCCCCACCCGAAATGTATTGCGGGCAGGGAAGAACACACAGCCTGAGATGCTGCCCGCTCTCGCCGTATGTTTGTCTACACTCGTATTGGTAAAATAAAGAGTGAGAAATAAATTATATTTTAAAGGATATTAAAATAGAAACCATTATTTTATATTGTAATAACATTTTGCAGGATTACTGTTTTTTTATGCATTTTTGATCAAATAAATGCAACCTTGATGAGCATAAGAGACTTCTTTAAAAAACATTAGAAGTCTTAGGGTGGCTGGCCTCAGACGATCTTGGTGAAGATGCTGGATGTGGAGGTCCTCGGCTGGTGTGGTTACACATGGTCTGCGGTTGTGAGGCCGGTTGGATGTACTGCCAAATTCTCTGAAACGCCTTTGGAGACGGCTTATGGTAGAGAAATGAACATTCAATTCACGGGCAACAGCTCTGGTGGACATTCCTGCAGTCAGCATGCCAATTGCACGCTCCCTCAAAACATCTGTGGCATTGTGCTGTGTGATAAAACTGCACATTTTAGAGTGGTCTTTTATTGTGGCCAGCCTAAGGCACACCTGAGCAATAATCATGCTATCTAATCAGTATCTTGATATGCCACACCTGTGAGGTGGATGGATTATCTCGGCAAAGGAGAAGTGCTCACTAACACAGATTTAGACAGATTTGTGAACAATATTTGAGAGAAATAGGCCTTTTGTGTACATAGAAAAAGTCTTAGATCTTTGAGTTCAGCTCATGAAAAATGTAGGCAAAAACAAAAGTGTTGCGTTTATAATTTTGTTCAGTGTATATTGTTCTTATGTACTTATATTGATTTCGGATCATTTTTAACCAAAAAAAGTTACGGACTGCAGCTTCAAGTAAATATAATTTTAAATGTTCCTTGTGTGTTCAGTTCACTAATTCTAGATTATTAATATTTTGAATGTTTACTCTGCTGTAAACAATTTGTATGTAGGCTACTTTGTAACAATGGCTGTTCTATCCAGATCACATATTTTTCATGGAGGCCTTTTTAATGTTGAGATATATATTGAATATCAATGCATTATAATGTATGTAATACCTAATACCTAATTCTAATGCCTAATAATGTATTATCAAAACAGAATTCATATAAAGTGTTACCATTTTGATTTACAAACATAGCTTCATAACATATCAACAAAATTTTTATCAGATTAAAAAAAAAATAAATAAATATTCTGAATGCAGTCCAATCCTGTGCACCATGCTATACACAGTGCCAGTAGTGGTCGATAAATATTAAATAGTTATGTTTTTGTGCTGTGTTGTCTTACTTTTAGTTGGGCAGAAGCCCCACTTTCTCTCTGTGTCGTAGTCTGTCTCTGTGGAACACCATAGCTGACCATCCGCTCTGCCCTCCACAATGCATTTGGCATACCACTTGTCATCAAATTTAAAAGGGAACTGGCATGGTTTCCCAAATGCATTTCCACCTATTGTATATAACGCTACAGAACATCAATAAATTAAATTAGACAATAGTAAGATAATGACTTTTGATCTTAACAACTAAAATTAATGCAATACTTTGAGCTAAGGTCTTTCACCCACAAATTGTTTATACAACCCCAATTCCAGAGAAGTTGGGACGTTTTGTAAAAATGCAATAAAATCAGGAATCTGTAATTTACTCATTCTCTTTAACTTTTATTTAATAGAAAAAAGTACAAAGAAAAGATTTCCAAAGTTTTCACTGACCAACGTAAATGTATTTTGTAAATATTAACAAATTTTGATTTTGATGGCTGCAACACACTCCAAAAAAGTTGGGACAGAGGCACGTTTAACGCTGTGTCACATCAACTTTCCTTTTAATTACAATGTTTCATTGTTTGGGAATTGGATACTAATTGTTAAATTTTTGCAAGCAAAATTTTTGTCCAGTCTCTCTTGAAACAAGGCTTCAGATACTCAGCAGTCTATGATTGTCGTTGTCTGATTCTCCTTTTCATGACTGGTCATACATTTTCAATAGGAGTCAGATCTGGACTGCAGGCAGGCCAGTCTAGCACATTCACTCTGAGTCTACAAAACCACGCTGTTGTAGTACATGCAGAATTAGAGCTGGCATTGTCTTGATCAAATAACCATGGACTTCCCATGAAAGACATCATCCTGATGGCAGTATATTTCTCTGTACAACTCCATGATAATGGTAACGTCACTGATGTGCTCGTACCATGACAGATGTTTGCTTTTGCATCTGTCACTGATGAAAGTCTGGATGGTCCCTTTGGTCTTTGGGACTGAGAACTCGAAATCCATTTTTCCCAGAAAGAAGTTGAAATGTGGACTCATCTGAGTACAGCACACCTTCCACTGTCTTTTTGACTATCTGAGATGAGCTCTGGCCCAGCGAACCCGGCAGCATCACTGCATAGAATTGATGTATAGCTTTCTCCTAGAGTAACAGAGTTTCAAGTTGCATTTCTTGATGCAGCAGCAGACTATGTTAAGTGACAGCAGTTTTCTGAAGTACTCCTGAGCCCATGTGGCTATATTTAACACCGCAGCATGATGGTTTCTTATGCAATGCCATCTGAGGGCTCAAAGGTCAAGCACATTCAACTGAGGTTTCCTGCCTTGCCCTTCATGTAATGTGATTTCTCTGGAGTCCCTGAATTTTTTCACAATATTACGTGTGGTAGTTGGTGAAAGACCTAAATTCTTTGCAATTTTGCATTGCGAAATTTGATTTTTGATTTGTTTGACACTTCTCTCATGAAATTTGGATATTCTATAACCTTTTCACTTTTATTTTGCCTCTGTCACAACTTTTTTGGAATATGTTGCAGCCATCAAAATTAAAATGTGTTCATATTTACAAAATACATTTACGTTGGTCAGTGAAAACTTTGGAAATTTTTCTTTGTACTTTTGTCAATTAAATAAAAGTTAAAGAGAATGAACAAATCACAGATTCTTGATTTTATTGCATTTTTACAAAACATCCCAACTTCTCTGGAATTGCTGTTGTAATGCTATGCTGTAAATGCCCCATTTTAGGTGGAAGCAAAAATATTCTGTTTTTGTTTTTAGCTTTAAATGCAAATGAAGAAAAGGGAAAAAAAGGTCCCACTTTATATTGAGCACTTAATATAAATTGGGACCAACAGGACAACCAATATTGCTGCTATTGCAAATACTATAGATCAAACCTACATGTATGAACTGGAGTCAGACGTGAAGAAGGAGCGACTATGGCAGGAATAACAAATGCATCGGGCCGTTTCTGGATGGTTATTTGATGAATTTATGTAACTGAGTTTTTCCAATCATTTTCCAGCGATGGACTTGGGGTTATGTTGTGTCATGCTCATTTATTAATTGTTATAGAGGTGCTCATGTGAGATCTGCGATGGGATGCCTACAGTTACCTATTTCTAGGGGTCATATTCCCTTAAAAAATAAAATGAACCCACTGTATCATCAGTAGCTCAGATGCCAGCAGTAAATGAACACCTCTTCATACAGTAGCTGAGACATCCTTGTGATACCAATAGCTGCTCTAGTGAGGAGAAAAACATGGCGGACTATGTACAGCTTACTCAGGGGAGGATCTAAGCTAATAGGGCAGATTAAATCACCAGTCATGGCCAGTGCCTATCCCAGAATGGGTGGATTTTTTACCATTATAGGGTGGTTGTGCACAAACAGAACAAACAAACTAAATTAATTAATTAAAAGGAGTCATGACATGGATTTTTTTATTATTATTTGAATATGTTTCTTGAGGTTTACTTATAATAATAATTATAAATAATAAAGTTAATAAAGTTTTTTGCATAAAAAAAAAGACATATATATGGCGGAGACGAGGAGGAGAATAAAGTCGTTATTTTTGTTTTCTTCGTGTACAAAAAGTATTCTCGTCGCTTCATAACATTACGGTTGAACCACTGATGGCAGATGGACTATTCTGACGATGTCTTTCATACTTTTCTGGACCTTGACATCAGTGGTGGACGAAGTACACAAATCAAGTACTTGAGTAAAAGTACAGATCCGTATTATAAAATATTACTACAGTAAAAGTAAAAGTTCTCCGTTTTCAATTTTACTCGAGTGAAAGTACAAAAGTACTTGATTTTTTATGTACTTAAGTAAAAAGTACTGATAGATGAATGTTTATTTTGCAGTTTTATATAGGCTACTTTTATCATTTAATTTTATATTAGCATATATTTTTTTATAATCCTACTGCTCAAAATACCTGGGATTTTCCCAAAATAACCAATAAGGAAATAATGAATATAATAAAGAAAATATAATTAGATTTTCATAATGATTTTTTTCTTCTCAAACCTTGACTGTGGTGAAAAAACACCCCTGGCCAAATGCCCCAGAGGGCACCACTTCCCACTTTGATAATTACTGTAGTTACCATGTTCTGAACATCACATCCTTTCTTTTTCCCTCAGATGTAATCTATCTAGGTGGTTGAATAAAAATATTTGGACTTAATTTTTTTTTTAATTACCTCAATTTAGCACCAGCAAGCTCGTTAGCTAGACAGTTAGCATCAGCTAACATTATTGACTTATTTTCAGCATGGTTATGAATAAACATTTATATTTGTCTACTCGGCTAATTGATCCAGATACATAGTAACTTAGGCTATGTGTGCTGACAAACAATATCAACATTGGCTACCAGAAATCACTTACCCCACCTTTAAAGGGATAGTTCACCCAAAAATTTGATGTTTATCTGCTTACCCCCAGGGCATCCAAGATGTAGGTGACTTTGTTTGTTCAGTAGAACACAAATTATTATTTTTAACTGCAAAAAGGTCTATATTAAAATTAATTAAATAGTCTTACATTTGAATTCACTGTGTTTTAACTTGTAAACATTTTTATCAAATTTCAGTCAAATGTTTTACAATATTGTGCAGTTTTAACTTCCTGTTTGTTTTTATACTTTAGAGGCCTTACAATAACAACAACAAGAGAAAGCTGAGAAAAAAGGAGGCCTCAGAGATCATCTTTGCTCTGACAGTGCAAAAATGGCTTCGTTGTGCCCCTGAACGGCTTGGGGGCATTGCCTTGTGGTGGAAAGCCCTGAGTTCATCAGACTATCCGTTTAATGTGGAGTAAGGACATCCTTTTTGAATCAGAAAAGTAGCTTCAAGTCCTGAACAGCAAACTGTGATAATGTGTCAGTCTGTAGTAATTTGGTATTTCTGACTTTGTTGGTGAGTTTCCATTTGCATTTACTTCCATTTTGCAGATGAAGTTTGCGTTTGTTATATATCGTCAGTTTTACTGGCTCTTCTCCTGGCATTTGCTTTATAAATTCAGAATGAACTATTCCATGTAATTAAGTCACATTGTCATCCATTTTATCATATTCTGTGCCTATGTTGTATATTAAGCTCTTTCCCTCGGTTTCTCAGACAAGGCTTAAGCCTAGTCTCAGACTAAAATGCATGTTTGAGCTGTCTCAACTGAAAATAACTTGCTCTGACAGATCTTAAAATATGTCAGTGTCTTTGTTTTGTCTCAAGATGCACACCAGTAATGTGTTTTTCCTAAGTCATTTTTATTTAAAAAAAAAACTGTTTAAATATCCTAATTTTACTAAGGCTAATTTTGCTAATTTTTTTCCTTAATTAAAAGCTAATCCCTGTCTGTGAATCAGGGCCTAGTATTGAGGGCACTGCAAAGTTTGTTTGTTTGTTTGTTTTTGTTTTGTTTTAAATAAAATAATCACTTGTTTTACTTAAATGTGATGCTATATTCATGGTCAAATAGTTTGTTAAAATCATGTGGGGGCAAAAATAAATATTTGCATGTAAACTGAAGGATGTTGTTTACTTTGAGTGACTTTTTGATTCAAAACCATATTAATTGCAGTCCTGTATGTTCTCTGATTGAAAAGAGTAAAAATCAAGATCGGTTTGATCATATTTCTATGTTGATTCAATGTTAAATAAGTGGTTTAATTTAAGTTGAAGAAATGTTGATTTTTATGACCATCTTGATCTATTTTTCATCATTGAAATAACATTATTTGAGGGTGCAAACCTGACGAAAAATCAATGTTAAACTTCAACATTGATTCAATGATAATTTGGTTGATGCATTAACATTGATTCAGCGTTGATTCAATGTTGGTCTGCGATCTGGGTAGCCGCATGTGTATTTTCTTATTATTTTTTTTGTAACGAAAAACTGCATAAAAATAAGGCTTTTATGAAAACACTAAATTAAAAAATTAGCTCTCGATTTGTGCTACCTATCTTTTTAATGGGAGGTAGCACAATCTGAGCGGGTAGCACAAATCGTCAGAACACTGGTTCGTTCGCGAACGACACATCACTAACTCCCGTGTCACCCTCTAGTCAGAAATAACAAGGAGGCTATGGCGAGTGTTATGTGACAGGATTACCTGCCGACGTAGACAGTCGTGTATGAGGTGTGCTTTATGCATTTACTTTGCTAAC